GAAGGAGTCCATGTGGGTTGCCTGAGCCTGGGGCAGGGAACTCCAGAGAACTGCTGCTAGCTCTCCAAGGTGTCCTTTGCAACTGGAGACGAGATAGGCTGAGGCCTACCACACAGTCCTGCAGCAGTGGACACAGGGTGCTGGGTAGGGGCTTGTGAAAAGCATACATTGATTTACTATTGACTGGTAGGTACTATGCCCAGTGAAGCCTCAGGCCTCAAGGTAGCCATGAGATCGGCCCTATCTTCCAGTCTCCAGGGAGACAGAATGTGCACAGACGATTGGGCACCATCGAAGGTGCTAGAAACACAGTATAAGCAAAGTGCTCCTGGAGCCTGGGTGAGTCACTGACCAAGATGTCCTGGCAGAACTAGGAGCCCCATGGACACAGGCTCACAGGGCCAGGTAGGGAACACAGCTGTCTCCCCTTATTGTCTCCATGGCTTTATGATGTCACTTCCGTGTTCACCTTGCTGATCCAAGTGGAGCCCCATCCGCAGCCAGCGACCCCGGAGTCTTTCAGATCCCATGGGGTTCTGCAAAGTCCCCGAGGAGCTGACTTTTGGAAGAAGTCCTCTGTCCTCCCCACAGCTCAGCATGACTCCCAGAAGGTCAACTTCTGCTCCTCCCCAGCCAGCCTGCCCCCCCGCCCCTCTGCCTGGCAGGCTCTGGAGGGACCTGTAGCCAGCCCTGTCCCTGCCTCCCATCTGTGTGAGATGGACGGTGGACATGCAGATGGTAGTGCTGTTCTCCTCCTTGCTCTGACCAGGCGCCCCGCGGGCCCTACGCATCCTGGCCCGTCCTGGAGCAGCAGGCTCAGCTAGGTGTCCCAGGAGGCCCAGCTCCTCTCACCCCAGTCAGAACCCTGGGGAGGATGCAGGACAGGTGCTCAGGGACACCAAGGGTCTGCCCAGCCCCCCACGGAGCCCAGTTCTGTAAACTCTGGGAGTTAGAATCTGTCCACAGCTCCATCTGCTTTCCTTTGGAACCAAGATGTCCTCGTGCATTTGTCCTAGACAGAGAATTCTACTCCCGTCACCATGGGGGTGTAGAATCCTTCCCTTAGAGAGGCCGAAGCCCTTTAAATGACTGTGATTCTGGGGGCCAGTCTTTAAATCAAGGCCATATGTGTTGCTGTGTGGTGGGTTCTCGGTGACCTCATCCCAAGGGGACATAAACCAGACACTCTCCCTTCCATCAGGATAATTGTGAAATAGTGTGATGGGTCAGTGGCAGGGACCCAACAGAGACCTGCTGGCCTTGGTACTCAAGGCTCCTGTACCAGGATGTAATCAGGGACCCTGAGCCAGGGGTGGCGGGCACTGGCAGGACAGAGTTGGACTCATCAGCAGCAGGAGGCCCTAGGAATGGAGGTCCTGGGACTCTGCCTTCATCTGACACCCAGTGAAGCCGGGGTAGAGGGCCTGCTTGACCAGGCTGCCTGGCCTTGCCCCTGCCCCAGGCTACCCTGGACAGGACATGGCCGGGCTTCCAAAAGGATGTGCCCCTGAAGAAGCTGAAATGTAACTGTGAAAGGCAGGGTTTTCAGTTATGCCAAGCCCTCATTTCTGTCACTCACACTTTGGTCGCCTCTGGGCTCTGAGGCACCTGCTGGGCAGCACCTCTAGGACCGCAGTTCCCCAAGGGCAGCGTCATCAAGGACCCCTCCTCTCAAGTGCTATCCCTGGACCAGCAGCACTGGCGTCCCCGGGAGAGGCAGACTCCTGGCCCCAGACCGCGTTCACTGGTGCATGTTCAGGGTGAGAAGGGCCCCTCCCTAGTGGAGGCCAGTGATGCCTGAGGCCCCTCTGCACACCGTCCTCTTCCAGTTGAGTGGTTCTTCTGCGCAGGTCATTTCCCATCTCTGAAACTGGAGTGATTCATCTCTGTCAATGTGTCAGTAAAGAGGTGCCGATGGTGACACTGTACTCAAATCTGTCAATTTGGGAATCGATTACAAGATATCAGAGTACAGGTAGAAGCTGTGGCATTCTTCAATAATAATGCTCTAATTTTACCACCGTGAAGAGAACAAGCACTTTTGAATAGTCGGGTGACCATAACTCCGTTGGCTCAACCTGTCCCGCTGATGCTGATGTGCCAGGGCTGTGATTGTGCAAAACCGACACGGAGCGAAAGCCCTCAGGAAGACGATTCCATTTCCAATGTAGATCCCAGGACATACAGAGGGAGCATATGGCTCTGGTCCCCTGGTGAGCAATGAGGCTTCCTGCCTTGGACCTTGGTGCTGCTCCTGTGAAGCGGTTTTTCACTGTTGAAAGAAGTCACTTCCACCAGGAAAAAGTTTGTTCGAGTAGGTTAAAAATTTACGCTTGTTATGCACGTGTGTGAGGGAGTGGGGACAGAAGTGGCGGAKAGAGACATGAGTGTTCAGTCGTGAAGTCCTGAAGGGCTTGTTTCTGAGCCTTAATTATGATCTGTTGTTTGCACACAGTAAGAGTTCTTGTTGCATCCGGGAATGAAACGTCACCCACTGAGGGCTTCTCCACTGGTCCCCTTCACCKTGAAGCACTTCCTGGCACCAGCGAGGGAACCCTCCCCTGATACTGAGCCTGTAAGATTTGGGTGAAACAGCAAATCAGCAGTGCAGGTGTTTGCTAGGAAGGCTGAGATTATGAGGGCATCACCTCCAGCTTTCAGGGAGCAGAACAAGCAGACAAGGCAGTCGCAGGACAGGAGCCTCTCACCGGGCCTCCGGCTGGACATCACTGCTCAGAGGACCGCCTTGGAGCAGTAACACTGAACCGTGGGTGCTCAGTCCTGAAGCCCATGGAGCTGTTTCTCCTTGGCTTCCAAGGACTGTGTCATATTCAGATGACAAGGATTCAATGCCCTGAACACTCCTGTGTGCCGGATTAAAGACATGACCCCACTGTTGTGGTCAGAATCTCAATACTTTTCCTAGGTTGGCCACCTCCTCCTCCATAAAAGGGTTCATACCAATCACCTGCTGCTCTTCTGCAACACCCTTGGCCACATGTTGAAGGACCTAGACAGATGGCAAAAGGGACCGTACAGAGGCGGCTCTGTTTACTTACAAATCCACGAACTCCTTGACCTTGGACAAGGCACCATTCTCTCTGGGTCCCGGTTTCTTCAGAAAATCAATAGAACTAGATTATCTTTTAAAGAGCAAATTTTATTGTTTAAAGGGCAATTAGGTATTGTCACAAAGGCCGGGGAGGGACACAGGTGCCTTCTGGTTCTGAGTTTCTGTGGGAAGGATCTCCAGAGCCAGGCCTGTGGGCACAAGGCAAAGTGCTTCCCAGTGGTACGTCCATTCCTGGGTATGTTCTTCCATCTTCCACTGACCAGAGACCTGTCCACGTGAGTCGCTCTGAGACCCTGCCAAGCTCTTCACGTGCAGAGGACGAGGTGCAACACACGCTATCGATTCCATGGCACACTTTTCTGAGCTCTAAGCGCAAATCCATCTTTCATATTGGAAGCTGCCACCCATCAGCAGGGCGTTTTAATTATTATTTTAATTTCAAGTTGGCAGAAAGATGCTGTCAGATAGTGCCCTTCCAGGGAAACTCTGGCTTTGGGGGGCTGTTCAAATCTCTGTGCTTTTGGCTCAGGGCTTCTGAGCACATATGAAGCACATATTGGTTCCCCCAAACTGTCCTCCATGCAGCACTTACCCTGCCACGCAGGGAGAACCACTGCCCATTTCCTGAAATGTGCCCAGGTCTCCTGGGATGCGGGACTGCAGGAAGGGAAGGCCTGCGACAGGAAAAACCAGTGTTCCAGGGGTAAGTGCCAGACAGCATCCTCCTCAGGTGCCTTGACTCTTGCCGACACACCTCAGGAGGCGCTGGGTGCATACGTGATGGAAACACGCCTCTTATTTGTCTTGTTTTCATACCAACTCTACCACCAAAATTTACTTAAACTGATAAACACATTGGTAAAATAGTATTTTTGTGTTTTGTATAAACTTTGGGGGATGCCAACCGTTGCAGATTGCTCCTRGTGACGGCAGTAAGTTCTGATACCAAACATTCCTCTTTTTATGAGTTGAAATAGCACGAGGGCTGAAAGACTGGTAAAAACGGAATTCAAAGTTTTAAGTGGCCACGCCGACAGTCATGCATTTTGATTTCTGAAACACAATCCTAAATATTTAATTCTACCATCACTGGAAGATTAGTTCTAGAAAATCTGGTTTTCCCAAAACAAAAGAGAACAAACCTAAAACTGCAAAATTAACTAATGAAGTTTGCACAGATAATTGTCTCTAAATAAGCATTATGATAATGAAATATTTACAAGAGAGTGGAAAGCATAAATAAGAGTGATCATGAATTTCTCAAATCGGACCATTTGTATCTCAGTCATATTCTTAAAACTTGCCTTGTGAGCCAGGGAGGTCACCCTTCCAAGCTGAGAGTGCATGATGTTTTTCGTTGTATTTATTCTGAAACCTGCAGATTGATCATCTGATTTCATAATATCTAAAATGTAGTGTTTCTCCCACAGGCACACATGGTAAAGTAATCAATAAAAATATTTTGGTGCCTAGCACCCTGCTCATCTCAAAGGGAACCCTAAGCCCAGGCTCAGCCCCACGAAGGGTTAAAGCATTGCAGGTAAGTTGGTGGCCGTTATAAATGGTCTCCAAATAAAAGCCAGAAACAGGAAGCCAAACTCCAGGTCCCTGCGGCATGCCTGTGTCTTAAATGACATCATTTGTCAAGTTTCCAGCGTCGTTGGTGGGAACACAACAGAAAGGTCTGCCCTGTGCTGGGGACATCCCCTCAGCTGCCATGCTCCTCAAGTGCCAGATGCTGGACTCTGGTTTCATGAGCAGCAGCTACTTGTCACTACACTTTCTGTGGACAAACACTGAATGTAATGCTAACGACCATTTATTCCTGAGAAGCTTCGTTCAGATGAATCTTGCAACAATTTATAAAACATACCCCATAAAACTTTTGTTGTCTCTTTTCAAACATTTCCCTGGATATATATATATATTTTTAATGCTGATCAGTCAACAACAATAGTCATTGTCAAAGGGATTGGAAATGATATTGGTATTTTTTGTAGGGAAAAAGGCACCGAAGGAGAAGTCAGAATTGAATGGTAACAGATCATTGGGTTGTCGTGGTCTCTCAAGAGCAAGCTCCTGCCATCCTGCCCGGCCAGTGACCTTAAGCCCAACATGCAGAGAAGGCCACACTGAGAACCGAGAAATGATTTATCCACTGTGATTGTTCTGCCCTGGCCCCTTCTCTAAAGCAAAGACTGACAATGGTGCTGAATTATGGATGCACTTTTCATGATATGTAATACAGTTGAGAGGAAAGGTGTTGGGACCCTCACACCATTTCACCTCCCCCAAAGAGACTGGGCTTGAACAACAATCCCAGAGGGTGAGACTGATGCTGAACYATGACCCTCAATTTACAAATCATTTTTCAAAAGAATAAAACAAAAGTTTAAACATATTTTTGGCATTATCTGAATAGGCGGAATCTTTCATGCTTGTTTTCTAAGAATAAATGAAAACAGCATGCACCGTAACTTCTCAGTTTGGGGACAGAGAACATGAGGTTTTCAGATTATGTTTTATTTTAAACCTGGGTGTTCAGATTTTATTTTTACAGATCTGAATTTTGTATATACCCTCAAAACATAATAAATTTCTATTCTGTAGCTTAAGGGATCCATCAGATAAAATGTTGGTCTTTCATCTTTATTACTCTCCTATTAAAATGAAAGAAACCGGGACTCACTTCAGTTTAGAAGAAGCAATTTAGTTGGTAATGTCCTCAGTCAAGTCCTTACAGAGGGAGAAAGTGCATTATTGCTTAGATTTCACACATCTATCTGCATAAGAAGCAACTAAGCCTTTCAGACACATACTATGTTAAATTTAATAATATTCTTTGATTAGATTATTTTATTACAAAATTTTTCCATTACCAGTCACTTCCTGTGCGCAGTTAGATTCATAAAACCTGTTTCCCCTGCTTTGTTTGTTTGCGCACTCAAGAGCAAGGCAAAGTCTCTTTCTGTTTTGCCACAGCTGTTAGRTCTGAGAGGGACAGATTAATAACTAAGCACCACATTGGACGAGCTTTCTTGTCCCCTGCACCAGGAGCCCTTTGCTATGATGAGGACACAAAGAGCCTCGCATCAGGCCGCTACCCTTCTTCATAACTCAAAAGCGTCACAGTGGCAATAGCCTCTAGTGCTATTTGTCTTTAGTGCAGTTGTGACACTTCGGCATGATCCATAATTTGGCAGCTATTTACCGTGACATTTCCCTTCAGTACAGCCATAACATTCAGTGAAGCCATTATTTGGTTCCATTTACCATATAAATTGTATTGTTGTGCATGCATGCTAGCAGCTACATTAGGTACCTGAAAATGAGTAAATCTTGTAAAATAGATACTAACAGCTCTTCAGCAGTAGGATTTCCTTGCTCCTCAGATGCAAGGGAAGAATTACATCGGCTCCCCAACTTTCCTGGAGCATCTTTAATTGCGTTCATATTTATTGAGCATGTTCGATGCACTGAAACCCAAGACTCTGCAAAATAATCTGGTGGGCTTCACCTTCAATTAGAAAGGCACTGTGGGATTTCGACTTAATGATGAAAGCAGCAGCAGCCTCCGGGCGCCGGAGGTTAAGAGGCAAGTGGATCAGCGTTGGCATGATTCGGGAGAGGAGGCACATGTCGCTCTGCTTCTCATGTGTGGTTGGTGGATGGTGTGTGCCATCAGGCAGCAGTGACAAAACCCATCTCCTTCCAGCAGAATGCTGGACATGAAACAGGAGGGTCAGTGACTGCTGTTCTGTTTCCATGACCAGAGATCAGACCCTTGTTCTACGTCTGAAAGCCTCCCATGAGAAGCAAGTGTAGTATTATGGACACTCRGTCCCTGAAAGCATGGAGCTGTGTGACCTGTGCTCCCTCATTACCATCCCCTGCGTATGCCCAAGCTGTGTCCTCCTGCAGTCCACGCTGCATCACGCACACCTGCACCATAAACACAGCACACACATTTCCCTTCCTGTGCACGTGAATTCTTAAAAGTCCCTTCAAACTCTGCGGTTTCCCTTTGCAGAACCTATTTTCTGTGTCTATAAGTTTTCAATATCAATTCTCTTCTCACAATAACAGGGACATTTCTCACACTGCAACACAGCTTACCAGGATGACTGTGGATGAAGCCCATCAAATAAAGGGTACTTCTGGAAGACAGGTCTGTGTTTTTGGAATCATCTAATACCAACATTGAATCTGGGGAGAATCCTGCCCAAAATGTCTAGGTACATAGCTGGTTAAGGCTCTGCAGACAAAGGGGGGCCCTATTCTGGAGGATAGGACAGTACAACAGTGGGACCTGTGGCACCTCTCACTTTTGAGCTGCTCATTAGCATAAGAGCAGGCTCTCCCAGAGCAGAGGCAGCTTTGTGAACTGTTTTCAAGACTGATTTTAAAATCTCATCAAGCTGAGGACATACTGATTCGATCAGGTCCTGCATCAGGAATTAATTTACTTCCCTGGAACAATAAAATCTGGAATGAGACCGTCCATGACTAAAGAATCGAATGTAAACGTTTTACCTCTGAGTATGGAGGGAACTTTTATTGGCACTTTTTTTCCCAAGGAAGGAGGGGGAGGAGGAGGAGGGAGAGAGAGAGAGGGAAGGGGAGGGAGGGAGGAATGGAGAGACTCATTAACACCTTACTTTTGTTTTAAAAAATATTATATCTATCACAAACTAAAAATAAATGGATTTGAGTAATTCTCGGGCATAAAGTGCTCGTTTTCTTTCTCCTTTGATTTATATCATTGTTCAGTTTTTACAGCTTACTGTTGACAGAGTGAGGTAATTCAACGACAATTTTTCCAGTATTTTTTCCCATGTACATATAATCGACAGCCCGGAATACAGAGTCCAGACCCGTAAACCTGCCCCCTGGAGAGAGGTCTCCCAGGTCCACCTCACAGACCAGGTCCCCACTGGCCTGCAGCTTAAGCAAGTGCTTCATGGCCGCCGGGTACTTGGAGAGGTAATGGTTCAGGAAGAAGCCCTGGACGCTGGCAGACTTCTTCAGCAGCTTGGCGGGCAGTGTTGCTGCTTTCACAGGCGAGAGGCCAGCAGGACTTTGGTAGCCAGAGATAAACCCGATTACTATCAAGCGCCCTCTGGTAGCCAAGGCATCTAAGGCCAAGTCAAACATGGCTCCCCCAACAGATTCATAGACCACATCCACACCATCCGGGTACTCCTGCCGGAGGACGGTTCCGAGGGACTCGGTCTTATAGTTGACAGGGCGATCGCACCCGACAGACTTCAGAAAAGCAGACTTTTCATCAGAAGAGCACGTTCCAATTACATGGCACTTTGCCTTCTTTGAAAGCTGCACAGCAAACTGGCCCGTCCCCCCAGCTGCTGCTGTCACCAAAACTTTCTTCCCTTCTGACAGTTCTCCCAGCTCGTTCAGGCTGATATATGCAGTGGTGCCACTTACCAGCAGGGTGAGGTACTCGGGTTTCACCGAGGGCACTGGAGTGGCAATGCTGGCAGGCACAACTGTGTACTCTGCAAAGGAACCAGGTGTCACGTAAGCCACGGCCTGGCCCACGGAGTGTGTGGCACTGGCAGAGAGGCCTAAGGCCACCACCTCACCAATGCCCTCGAAACCTATGTCAAAGGGGGGCTTCACCGATGGGTCATAGCGGCCAGCAGAATAGTTGATGTCAGATGCATTAATGCCAACAAATCTACAAGAAAACAAACAAGTCAATGTATTACGAGGATTTCTTTGTTAAGATATTCACACTCTGTTTAGAAAAAATATCTAACTCCAGTGACGTGGAGGGGTTGCTGGGCTAAAGGATCTGACAGAATTTAAGAAAATTCAATCCTGCTGTTCCCCTGGGATTGGGGGGAATCAAACAAGTACTGTTCACACTGACCTGCACTCAGAGTTTGGGCGCCTTTTATTCTTTCATCAATTTAGGAATAATTTTATATCACTTTAATCAGCAAGTGATTTATTTCACATGCCATTTGCTTTTATCCCCCCCCCGCCCTTTTTTTTCCAAAAGGAGAAGTTTAAGAAAAAAAAAAGAGAGGAAAAAAAGGGAAAAGTCAGGAAGCCCTCCACATACCAACTTCACGAGAGCTACAAGCTGGAAATTAATTGGCTTCTTTAGCAAAGATGTTAAAAACAGTGGGATAAAACACATTCAAATAAGGGCAGATATACTGATTCTGGCAACAACTTAATCCTTCAGATAATAATAGCAATGACAATGATATTATTAAAGGTGGTGGAGTGTACAAGGTCATGGGTTGCTACATGTTACTGCCAGGGTTGTTTGAAGAGGCTGATATTCTCTCTGGTGTAACCATATCCAGTGTGAAAATATGCATTTTGATTAACTGAACAAAAACTGGGGAAAATGATTTTTATGGAATATTCATTGTTTCACAGTCCCTCTCAATCGGAAAGGAAAGCAAATTGTCACTGTATTTCTCCCCAACAAGAAGCAGAGACATGACTTGATTAATACCAGATGATTAGTTTCACTTTGGTATCCAGAGTCAATCTAATTGCCAGGCCAGTATTTTTACCAGCCTTTTTTCCATTTGATATACCTTATAATAAAAAAATCCTGATAAACAGGGAAAAAGGCCATCTAACTAAGAATGTCAGGAGGTGGCTTTGACACATCAGGGACGACCCTAAACATGTCATTTCCACCTGTACTGAAAAGAAAAGTGGGTAGGATCTGGTGGCAGGAAGAAAGCTGTTAAGAATGCCATCTTTAAAGAATTTCGCTTTCACTACAAGGCAGATAATGCTCTGCACTTACAAACACTCCCTTATGACCATCCCTGGCCTAGCTACCACAGAGAAGGTGTCTACACAGTGTCCAAATGGGAAAGYGGGAAGCAGTTGCTTCCCACATGTACAGCTGCCTTCAGAGGTCAGCCCCAGCCTCGGTAATACGCTGCGGAATTCCAAACCACAGAGGATGCACTACCATGACAAAAGGGAAGAACGATTTTTTGCTGGTTTCTCATTTGGCATTTAATACCAAGATGCCTACATTCTATTTTTAGAGAAGGAGGGGGGGGCTGCCACGTCTTTAAATGTACTTAATTCTCAAGTCCTGGCCTTTTGGGGAAGGGCTGGCTTCCTGGGAGCTTGCTTCTGGACTTGAGAGAGGTGGCTCTAGCCCTGCTGGAGCCTTGCCTTAGGCTGCAAAGCACGCTGCAGGGAAGGCGCCCTGGAGCAGAAGCAATGACAGGCTCCTGCGGAGGTGGGGGACAGGGGCCCCACCACCAGTTCTGTTCTCTGTGCTCCTTTGCCCAGGGTTAACTCTTCGTGTGCCCGAGACCCCTCACGGTTGGAACCCCCTGGCGTTTTGCAGTGGTGTTTCCTCCACCAGGAACCCTGGCTTGGCTCCCGGGACGCCCAGTGGCTGCTACCCCTCTATGGTGGCCCGGGGATCTCCCCCACCTCGAGAACCCACGCCCGGGGGCTCCGGACAGAGACGCAGCGCCCCCCTCCCCCGCCTGCGGTGGCCACTTCCCKGGAGGAGGTGGAGAGAAGCAGCAGGGCACACTCTCAGGACACGGAGCCCAGACACGCTGGACCTGGCAGCAGAGGCCGAAAGTGGAGGCGGAGTGGGGCTCCACGGGAGCCGGCGGCAGCGCGGGTTGGCCACCGGGCTTGCCTGGAAAGCCGGCGCCACGGCCATCCCCGGCCAGCGCTGGGCGGACAGCGGCTCCGTGAGCCCTGTCCGGCTCGCCATCCCACCTGGCCAGCCCCGGGCCTGAAGTGGGCACTTCTGGGCCCAGGTTCCTCAGAAGTGCCCGGCCACCGCTGGTGGCCGATCTGCACCAGATGGGGCTCCCCAGTGTCCCTGCGGCTGCCGCCCAGGCCGCAGAGGAGCCTTGTTTGCGGCCTCTTTGCCCGCGCCCTCAGTCCCCGCGCGGACAAGTTCCTGGAGTCCCGAGCGGAGCTGGACGCGCTGGCCCAGCAGTGGTACACACGTCCCATGGCAGTGACCTTGGCCCGCAGGCACTCTCGCCCCCATCCCTGCTGCCTTCGAAGTGGCGTCGGGGAAGGCGGCTCAGGCTGGTGGCGACAGCCCGCGGCTGCACGCACCTCGCGCTCTCCGGGTCTCTGGGCCCTGGATGTGGGGACTCTCGCGGGACCCGAGCTTGGACGCTGCCTGGCCGCGGCCCTAAAGGCGCCCCAGTCCTTACCTGGGCGTTGGGTAGAAGCTGCGTGAGGACGGGGAGGCTGAGCCCTTGGCTCCACCAGAAACAAGTTCAAGGGCAGCAGGCTCAGGGCAAAAGGGGGCTCGGTCCAGCSGCGGGACGGTGAGCCACCAAGTCAGAATGCCGGCAGGTTGGGAAGGGGCTTGATGTGCAGGCCTTCCCCGCACCTCCCTTTAATTGGAAATGTGTTTGCAAGGAGTGCAGGATTCTAGCAATCCAACGGGACGACCCACTGAAAAGACTGGAATCCAGAGACCCCAGGAGAAGGAATGGGACCGGTGCGGGCATTCCCTAAATATATACCCTTCTAGAGTCACCCAGTTTATTTATTCTAAAATGTGCTGAACCCCTTCGTCATGTTTATTGTGAAACAAGGCAACACTGACGAGGGGGAGGGAAACGGTTTCTCTTGAACAAAAATCAAAGGCGAAGACGGGAGTCCATAATAAAACCCTGCAATACTAGGAGACAAAACAAAGTCGTTCAAACCTGACTTTCCTTAAAAAGAAAAAAATAAGAAAGAAAGAGAAAGAATAAAAGACAAACTATAAAGGAAAGAAAGAAAAACAACTACACTGGAGAAGAAATATTTTTACCCTCCCTCGAGCAACAAACCGTTTATCAAAAAAGCTACCCCATCCCCCCACCTCCTTTCACCATTCCTACAGACTCTTGGCTCCATTATCTTACACTTGAGCCGAAAATCGTTAGAAATACTTGGAAACGGAAAAATCTGTCACCTTCTTACGAAAAAGCTAAAAATAGCACACAAACCAACTTGACATGGGTGCTAGTCCCTCTTTTCCAAGGGCTCAGCATGGAGGGGAAGGTGGGAAGTTACTAGCAATGATGACATGGTAAGGTGAGGACTGGATAAAGGAACATCAATTACCCATTCCGGAAGGATTTTATACACCCCTTCTCACACCTTTCTTCAATGGTAAACTTTATTACCCTAAAGCATGTCCAGCTTATAAGTACTGCCCTCTTTTTGAATGAAGAATTTGTTTTCTACTAGATGGAATGGGATATGCAAGTGGGTCACTCAGAGCAAAAGATGGTTGGAACACAACTAAAATCCCCAAACACCCTTCCAAATTTGGGTTTAATGCATTCATTCCAAGGTAGATTTTATTATGATAAAAATGAGAAGCACCTGCATAAATTTTAATGCAATTAACACTACACAGGGGAAATCTGATCTAGGATTAAAATGAACTAACCTGCACTGAATTATTAAGCCTCCATTCCTTAAAAAAATCGGTAAGATGCTACCTTCACTGACATGGTTTGCAAGAATAAATGCCCTTCCTACTATGGAATAGAGTTTCCAATAGGGTAAGGAAAGAGGGAAGTAAAGATTCTGTCCTTTTCTAACTTGCAGAAAACTGGCTCTGTTTTTTTTTTTTTTTTTCCTATTTTAGATTCAAGGTACAAGTCAAAGGTCAAGTTGTTCAGATAAATATACTATTTATATTAAAGGGATTCTTGATGTATACTGTATGTAGAAGGAAAAAAAAAAGGCATGGATTTTAAAGCAACCCAAACTGATGGGCTACATACATGGGAGCCAGTGCTCCTGTGCTCAGACCATGGGCTCAGGGGTCCACATTGCCCCGACCTTGGGACCAACCCTGGTGACCCTGGACACATGGCAGCACCTGAGAGACAGCAACCTTGGGGGAGGAAAGGGAGGTGAGAGCAACCAAAAGCTTGAAGGGAGCAGAGGAGAGAAAGAAAGATTCTGAAGAGTTAACAGAGTTAACCCTAGCAGGTAGAGAGGCCCGGGAGGCCTGGAGCCCAGAGCAGAGCCAAGCAGCCTCCATCATAGGGGCAGTTCCACATTACTTGTGGTTTTCCAAATTGATAACTCCCCCTGCCAGTCTTGTACTACTCTCTCCCCATTACAATCCATTTCTAAAAGGTTTTATTCACAGTTTTGTTTATATTAGAGTTTACAGTCTATGCTCTACAACATCACACACAAAAAAGAAAAAAAAGCTTGCATGTAACTTTTCCTCTATTGTTTGCTTGGAAAGCTTTTTAGTCTGGTCTCAACTCAACTTCCAGCACATTACTGGTACACTCTGTATGTTCTAAGTGAACACATACTCAAACCTGTTTTTTAACTCAGCAGAGAGAATGTTCTTACTCTCAACAGCTTTAGCATTGCATCACACAATGAAGCAATCCTTTGCACCATGGTCGACCAAAGCAGACAGCTTCAAGGAGATACATACACTACATGCACACAAGCAAACACCGCCCTTTAGCACTCCCTACCGACCCCCACCCCATTTCCACTCCTTGGCTCACTCAATTACTAGTTTTCAACAGGTTTCCAAAAGTTTCGAATCATGACCAGTATTCTTCACTCCTACACTCTAGTGTGGGAGGCTGATGGATTTCTAAACTGGACTGATTAAACGCTTCATGGAGCTACTTGGACCGGGTACATTTTGTCCTTCCGACCTCGCAGGGGACTTACAGAACTTCCTAGCACACAATTTACAGCCCAGTTACAGTCAGAACGAACTCCTCCTTTCAACAATATTATGCAACCTGAAACATGCAACCATGCAACGCTGGAACCGTTCAGATGGGACTTAGCAGGCCAAAGGGCAGAGAGGACTGCAGCCTGCAAGTCGGGCAGCAAAGGGACCTAACCAACAGCACAGAGAYGCGGGTGGTATGGCTCCGACACAGTGAGGACTCTTTCCTTCCTGTCGCTTCACCAGTTACTAAAGATTAGTGAGGTGGAAACACATTAAGGTGCGGAGCATGGGGGTGGAAAAGACAGAAGATCGAGTCTGCAAAACATGCGGGTAAACGCAGCCATACCCCTGRCCCAGCCCGGCCCAGCTGCCCTGGACACACGCCACGCGCCTATCCTTGCACTCAGGGGACAGACAACAGTCACACAGCACTGACAACACGCAGACGACAACGGCGAGGTACACTCAACACGCGAAAGGACAGACTCCGCCATTGCTAGACGGTTGCCAAACTGCAGGGGACAGGAAAAGCTAGCCAGTTCCTGGCCCCCTTCCTTCAAAGCACATTTACCTAAACGTCGCAGTTTGTGTCCGGGTTATTCCTGCTCCACTAAAAGATATGTCAACGCAGGAACCGTGGGTTCGCGCGGGTGGGCCGGGCGGGGAGCCTCCCCTTCTGGATCTCGTCGGTTTTATTTCGGGAGCGGGAGGGGGAGGAGGGAGGGCTGCGGAGGAGGGGAGGGGAATCCCAAATTAAAATAACCCCCAGTTATGAGGACGTTCGGTGGCATCGGATATTCACACTAGCAAGTCACATTACATTCGCCTTCGCCAGATGGCGGCGGGTTCAACTTCCCGGGATCTCGCAAAGTCAGGCTGTGCGCCTAAGCGCGCGCCGCAGTGTGGGCACGCGGGCGGCCCGGGACAGCCGGGAGCTGCGGCCAGGGCGGGGGCGCGCGCCGGGCTCACCGGTTCCGGACGAGGAGGTCTCCGTCCCCGGGGAGAGGCACCGGGCAGTCCCGGCGCAGGGTGACGGCCTCGCGGAAGTTGGGGCTCAGCCGAGTCACCACCAGCTTCTGCATGGCTCGGGGGATGGCGGAGCCCTGGAAGTCCAGGAAGTGGCGGGCGTACGACAAGTCCACGATGGCCCGAGCCCCGCCGTGCGCCAGCCGCAGCATAGCCCTCGCTCGCCTCCGCCCGCTCTCCGCGCTGAAGCCGGCGGGGTCACGCCCAGCCTGGGCCGCCCGACTCGGCTCGGCGCGGGCGGGCGGGTCCGCCCCTCCTCTGGCCGGCGCCCTCCCCTCGCTCCCCCTTCCCTAGACACCCGGCTCCGGTCCCCGCCCCCGGCCCGCCGCGCTCAGCGTCGGCGCAGCACCAGCGGAGCCCGGGCGCGCCTGCTCCCGCGTCCCAGCCGGGGACCGAGGCCGCCCCGGCGCAGCTCCTTTAATCTTTTTGTTTTGGTTTGAATCTGCTCGGCGCAGACTGGCCGAGGAGCCTCTCCGCCCTCCCCCTCCTCCCGGCGCGGGAGAGGCACCGGATATCCCCACCCTCCCCACGCTCGGGAGCCGGATTTGACTCCTTCGGGGGAGGGGGGCGGCCAGCGTGGGGGCCCGCGCTCCGGCGGTTGCCGCGGCCCCGAGCGGCGGCGGCCCCCGGCGGCCCCGAGCGGCGCGGCGCCCGGCGCAGGCGCCTCCCCTTCCCGTGCGAAGCGTTCACTTCCTTGCAAGGTGGTACGAATCAACCCCGAGCGCGGCCGGGGCGGCGGGGCACGCCGGGGCCTGGGCCGAGCAGGGAGCCCCCGCCCCGGTGAGCGCGCACCAGCTCCAGCAGCGGGGTGAGGGCTCTCCTGGCACCCTGAGCCTTGGCTAGAGCCTCCTGTCAGGAGAACGCCTCACCGCGCCTGGAGCCTTCAGTCTGTCCCGTGCAAGTTGCACGAACTAAGCCATTTTATTTATCTTGGCCTAGATTTTGTGCTTTTCCATGAATGTTTTAAGTAGCTCTACCAGACGGTTACAGGTTTCCCATTGGGAGAGAACACACATACTGAAACTAGAGGGCAAAATTCCCAGAGCACATAAACATTTTAAAGTTGTAGGTGGTGCCCCGAGGAGCTTAATGGAACTGGAGACGTTGCAATGATGTAAGAAGACCACATTTTCTAACCCAGCCAGAAAGATGTCGTTTCATCGTGTCAATTTTCTCCCTAATTGCGTGCATTGACTAAATAATCAATTCACGTTTCATAGAGGGGCCCAATTAAATATTTCTACACATGTCTGTGATGAGCTAAGCTCATCTTTAAATTTCTATTTAAGTTGTATATTTTAATTTAAAAACATTTCTTGTTTTCCATATACCCATGAATTGCCAAAATATAAAAGCCACACAGTGCCCTTCCCCAGCTAAATCTAATCTCCAAACTAGGATTGCAAAAGTGACACAGGTATTTTTTCTCAAATGTAGGACATACTTCACCCAAGGGTGGTTTGAATCCACGTGGGCGCATGTGTATGCGTGTTCTAGAGGGGGGAGGGGAACTAACAGGTTTGAGAATCTGCAGGGACTAATGTCTGCTTAACTTGGCTTAGAACACATGGGTTCTACCCGGGATCAGCCAGTGGATCACAATAACAATCTCTGAATGTCTTCCTCCAACGTGCAATCTTTTATGTTATGCTGTATTAAGATTTCCTTTTTTGTGTCATATTGTTTAGCTCCGGGAAAAAAAAAAGAAAACAAAGCAATTAAAAAGATTGACAGGTATGGTTTGTGTGAGACCTATTTGTAATTGTCAGGGTGACGTTGGCGAGAGGAGGAGGAGTAAAAACTGAAGCAGGAAAAGCAGCTCGATGTGTCTGTCTATCAGTTGAGACTGTCTGAAAGCTCTGCGATCCGAATGTGTGTTATATTTCACTGAAAAGAGGAGAGAGCGAGAGTGCATCTCTTCTCTCCCAGGAGTTTGGGGCGGGGGGGACAGTCCACGCTTACCTCGCCCATCCAGTGAATGTCTGCTCTTCACCCCTTGGCACATACTCTCCGGGTTGTTGTTGTTGGCGTTTTTTYTTCTTCTTTTTTTGAGGGGGGTGCTTTTTGTATATTTTTCAAAATCTTTCTGTTGGAAGATCAAGACCGACCAAAAATCCCTGCTCGAAATGTGTTTGCATTAGATCTCGCCTCGGAGGCAGCGGCGATCCTGGCAGCCAAGCCCCCCAGGGGTAGCGCGGGGCACAAAGTGGCGCTCCGGCGGGTGACACTGTTTGATCTGTGACTGTTTGGAAGGTGGAGCAGCGCTGACATCCCCCGGCGCATGTATGTACGGGGGCTTCACTCCTCTGTCTTGTTTGCTTTCTTCCTCCTAGACTAAGTGCGCGAGGAAAGGACAGCCCGATCGGCCTCGCTGGCGCACAATGAGAGAGCTGCGACCCGCGCACTAGGAGCGCCCGCCGCGACCCCCGCCCGGCGAGGAGAGGGGCCGACAAAGTTGCGCGCCGAGACCCCGGCTCCCCGAGGAAGGCGCGAGCGCCCGGCGGCGCCCGGACAGCGCCCGCCCAGCACAGCGCGCGCGGCATGGAGCGCGGGCCGCGGGCCGGCCCTGCGAGCGCCCGCCGCTGCGCCCACGGCCCGCGCCGGGGATGACTGCGGGCTCGGCGCCCAGGCCCCGCGCGCTCCGCCCGCAGCCCGGCGGCCGGGGAGCGGCCCGCGCGGCCGCCGCCGCCGCC